GATAATGAAGTTGCTAACGAGGGTGAGATGTGAAGTGGTAGATAAGCCTTCTTGAAATATGAATAGGTACAGAGGCCCCAAGGCTGATGAGGATGATTATTACTAGGGTACAAAATATGAAGATCAAAGTGGAAAATAACTTGACCAGAAGAACTGAAAGAAGCTAGTTTATGACAGTACTTGAGTTGTTATGCTAGCCCTCCAGTTTAACTCAGAAGTTCTGTGAGCACATTAAAATATGTGTACATGGAAATGACAAGATAAGATTGGATGATCTCTTAGATATTATGAATATAACACATTTTTCATTGAGATTAAGAAACAATAGAAAGCCCAAGCTCGAGGGAAAAATATTTCATGGATATGTTGAAAATACAGCTAAGCAACAACAAATGTTGGTGAGGATGTGGAGAAAAAGGAACTCTCCTACACTGCTGGTGGGAATGCAAACTGGTACAACCATTATGAAAAGCTGTTTGGAGGTTCTTCAAACTGCTAAACATGGAGCTTCCATATGACCCAGCAATCCCACTCCTAGGTATCTACCCAAAGGACACAAAAACATGGTATCAAAAGGACATCTGCACCCTGTATTTACTACTGCTCTATTTACAATAGGGAAGACAGGGAATCAATCCAAATGCCTAAAAATAGATGTATACATTTATACAAGGGAATATTACTCAGCAACCAAAAAAGATAAATCCATGCCTTTTGCAGCAACATGGAAGGGATCATGCTTAGTGAGATAAGCCAGAAAGAAAAAAAAAAATTGGATGGTTTCACTCATAGAAGGATTGTAGGAGATCAGGAAAGAAAAAAAAAAGCGATTGTAATAAAGAAAAAAAAAATGAGAATAGTGAACAGCTATAAACCAGAAGGGGTAGAAAGGGGAATGGGATCAAAACTGGGGTGGAAAGAGTACATGAGGCTATGGTGATGGCACACGGGTGAATTGATGGTGGGAAGCCCACAGGGGTTACAATCGAGATGATAAAATGCACAAAATAAATAAAAATAAATTTATTAATACAGCTAAGATGTTAATGACATTATGGAACTGGTCCAAGAAAAAAAGAATATATGCACGAAAATAATTATCATTTTACATATCTTTAAGAAGTGCTCATAGAAAATTCCTTTGTCCTCATTAAAGTATATTTACTTTTGATTTGCTTGCTTGCTGGCCAATTGCTAGTTCAATAGAAAATAAATATATTAATTTCAAAGAGAAATCTAAGTACAAATGAGTGCCTATAGCCTGTTTTACAGTTCTACAGGTTTATTTAAAAGTTTGTCATGTTCAATGTGATAGAATTTCAACTGTGTATATTGAAACACTGGGCTGGCTCTCAAGAATGCGTTTCCACATTTATGATGCAAGTCCCTGAAAAGAATCTACCTGGCTAGAATGTATTTTATTAAAAATATCCATTTCATGGGTGAAAACAGAGCATAGAAAATAAAACAGCCTATCTCTGAAACTGGGAAGGACATCCCAGTTTTATCTTAAATACCATCAGAGAACAATCAGTAAATTAAAAAAAAATTGTTCCTTATTTTCACATTTTGCCTAAATTTGGTAATGGGATCAATGCACAATGGTTCCTTTTATTCAAAGCACTGAAACATATTTCCCCAATACTGACTTAACGCGAATGCTCTAGAGGTGAAGGTAATGGCCATAAAGCCAGCATTACACTGTCAGCAGCTCGCAGCTCCTCAGGCGCAGGCAGAGGGCCAGTCACTTCATCTGAATTTGTCCCTTGGTTCCACAGAATTGGATGGGCTGTCAATATTGCTGTTAGATACTAGAATGGGAATTTCCTGTGTTGGCTAGAACATGGAAATATATACCAAAAAAAAAATAGTGTATTTATAGTTCCATGTGTGTTCAAGGGTCTTAGTTGTATTTTTATAGTCAAAATGTGTCTATAGCTGAGCAATAGGTTTTTTTTTTTTTTTTTGACTCTACTGGTTTTTATTCACTGAAACTTGAAGACATAGGGCTGCTTCTCATCTTCAAAAATTTTATGATGTGTATTTCTTTGGTACATTATACATGGAATTGCTTCAGTTTGTAGGCACACACCTCTTCATTTCTTAGAACATCACTAAAAGTGCTTCCTGCAATGGTGTCAGTTTCTAGTTCTCTAATTTATCAGCATTGTAGGTAAGAAATGATTTTTTTTTTCAATAGCTCAGTATGTTAGCTCTGGGCCAACACAACTAGGTTCAATATTTTCTGAAGAAAGAAAACATAAGAGTATAATTAGCTCAAAGTTATTCTATGCCTGTATATATGTTTGACTAAAGCTTTCTGGATAATGTATGCTTGTCATCTTTTTGTATTATATTTGGCAAAAAAAACCACATTACATTACTGTAGGGAACTACATCTGTTCTGTAAGCATATCTTGTGGCTCTAAAGACTTGAAATTAAATTTATGAACTAACATTTATATTTCATAAAAGTAGTATTTATTTTAATTCTGCTTTTAGATAGTCATCATCATAAAGCAGAGATAGTGCTTATCTATGTTAGAATTATACAAATTTGGGCCCTCCCTGGTGGCGCAGCGGGTTAAAGCCCAGCACTGAGAAGCTAAAACCACTTCTGCATGAGTTCGATTCCCGCCTGCCCCGGAGGTGACCACATGGCGTGGCAGACCTCTCCTGACCCGCCAGCTGCTCCCCTCAGCAGTGTACTTCATTGATCTGCCTGTTCTGTTCCCCACTCTATCTCTGGTGAAGCCGCCCCTGAGCCTCTGCCTGTACCCCAGTTCTGTATGCACAAATAAATTAAAAAAAAAAAAAGAATTACACAAATTTGTATTCACTTCAATATGTGTACCAGATCGTAAAAAGAGCACCTGATGCATAAGAACCAGGAGGAAGTTGATTGTCCCAAATTCTCATATTTATGTAACACCTCTTTGTGAAGCTAGTTCTCTCTGTAGAAACAAAGGGAAGAACATCAGACCTTTTTCTTCTCTAGCAGCTTATTTGAAAAGTATTTGAATTTGTGGGTATTGAATACTACTGTGATTAAGTGTAATGCCACACCTCACCCATCAGGACCTATCAAGGAGTAGCTTAGCCAGCCCCTAAGCATTTACTAGCTTGAGGCCTGGAAGATTGCCTTTCTACAATTCAGTATCAGCTTGCTGCTTTGGTAGGCTGCACAGGGCAGGCTAGAGGACCTCTGAGTCATAGCTGCCACGTTCAGTCAGGCAACTAGCACGCTGTTAATGTTCCTGGCCTAAACTACAGTCCAGCCCATGCTCCATTTGCCATGTTGAATACCTCGTTGTAGGGCAATTTCTTTGTGGAGAAAGCAGGAGTCTCTTCTAATTCTTCTCCCTAGGGACATACCCTTTCCCCAATCTGTATGCCGTCGGGCATACTTTGCATTAATCAGTGGTTGGATGTCCACCTCAAGGCCCCCGCCTCCATTTGCCCACTGGTACAAACCTCAAGAGTGGCATAAGATCAAGTTGTCATCCTACCTCGAACTCCAGGGAAAGGTCCTGTTAGCTGCTTTTGGGAGCTTGTTGTCTATATTGAGTGCCCATATAGAAGAAACTGCAATAGCAGAACCCTGAGATTCTCGAGATGTGGAATAATCTGGCCAACATTGTGTATTCTGTGCTAGAAGACAACGAGAGAGCTACATGGTTTCAGTAACATGACATGCAGTCATTTCAGTTCTAGTTGCTACTTAATGTACATATGTATATAGTTGTTTTATTCTATAATATGAGGTGAGAACATGCTTAGTGCTCAGGGTTATTGAAAGGAATTCAGTAGGGATCTTGGATCTGTCCTGTTCTTTTGACTTCTGCCTGTCTTCTTTGTTTCTCATAATACCGAGTCAAGTCAAGTAAAAGGTACTCAAAAATTATTTAAGGTAACTCTCGCACTGCATCCTTTCTTTCCTCCTTTCTTGATACCATCCCTCCCTTGCTCGCTTCTATTAATTAAAGGACAGCCATCTCTTCACCACCCCAGGGTACCCTTTCTGATCTGACCTGCACGAATATGCTGCGCTTCCTAGTTGTTATTGTGTGACAGTCACTGGACCCTAATTAATGTACCTTCCATTAGAGATGCAAAAGAGGTGATTTTTTTTTTCTTAATTCTTCATGATACCTGTAGCTTTAAAATTGTTGGCTGATGTAATGATTTTGTAATGTCAAGTTAAATGAGTAAATCATAGTTATTTATCTTCCCTTACTCAGAGGAAACTTACATACAAACTTTGTAGAGAACAGAATTAGCACATATTTAGTAGGCTTCTTAAGTACAAGATGAAATAATAAAAGTGTAAAGTATGTCTGTAAGGTTCTAAGCAAAATGCATACAAATACAAATCATTATGTTTCCCTCTTTAAATCAGACTCTCAAACTAGACAAAGTAACAATTCCAGGTTCCTGAAATAGGGTGGAAAATGCTAGCAGCCCATGGGTTTTTGTTTGTTTTTTTGGCAAGCAGGACACTTACTAGACAGTCTTTATCAGAGATGGTTAAAAATAAAGGCCAGAGATACACTCAAAATAGGCTTGCTTCATAATTTGTCAAAGAGTACTGGTAGTGTTTAGCCAAATGCAGATATCCATGCATATTTCTGTGCTTTCACATAGAAACACAGGTTTGGGCAGATACAACCTTCCCACGCCTTCACTCTGCCAGACTGCAGTTCTTTATAGCACATAAATCTTCAACACCGTCTTGTCCAGATGTGCTCCCACAATCCCTTTGTAACACAGAAGTTGTCACTTAATTTCTTATGAGGAAAACATTACCACTGACCTTCCTTAAGCCTAGAGATACATTTTGTTATGTAAATTGTAAACTCATCCTCACTAAGCTAATGTAAAATTGGTTTAAAATCTATTTAAAAAATGAGAAACCTATGCATGTCTCCTAAGTGCATCCCTGAAGACCTGTACTAACACTGATACTAACTTCGCTTTCTATGTTTATTTGCTCTTTTCAGGGGAAAGGAGGACAACGGTGTCTTGTACAAAAATCATGAGCAAAAATATCAGCATCGTGGACAACAAGAAATGCAAATACTTAACCAAGCCAGAGCCACAGATTCGAAAGTGCAACGAGCAGCCGTGCCAGACCAGGTAACTCTTTCCCACCTCAGTGATGCTGTCATTTCAGGCACACTCAAAATACCAATCAAATCCAAGCTGAAAGATAGTGCAGACGCTTATGTGACAAAGTGTAAGGCTAAGTAGGCAAGGTCAACAGAAAGTGGTTTGGAGCACAAAGACTAGGATTTGCCTCAAATTTGAGCTTGCCATGTGTGAACACTCGGAGGAAGGAAGAAGATAAATTATCATAACCTCTTGGTGACTTCTACAAAAAAACAAAAACTGGTGACTGGACTGACTTGAGCTATTTGTTCCTAGCTTCTCAAAAATGGGGTACTCAGTCTTGCCAAGGGTGATGCAAACTGAAATAATCACCAATGTAAAGCAAAATCAAACTTCAATAAAAGAGAAATTCATTAAACTAGTTATTCAGAGAAAAACTGACGGAGGATCTGGCCCAGGATACCTCTTGGTTTTCTCTGAGTGCCAGGTGCCTACCCTCAGTTTTTGTGTGCTTTATATATATATTTCAGATATTGGCCCCGTTCAGGTATATATTTGTATGAGTACTTTTTTACTACTCAATAGGATGTCTTTTTAATCTTACATGTTCTTTTCAATGTAGATGTTTTTCCACTTGAGGTAATTTTAGTTGTTTATGTTTGATTTTATTTATCTTGACATAGGAGTTACCTCCCAGAGTCATCTTTATCATTGATGTCTTGGAACAGATCATCAATGTTTTCTGCCATGTTGTATGTTACAGACCTTATATCTACGCCTGTAGTTGTGTGTGGGGTGAGGGAGTGATCCAGCTTCATTCCTTTTGCTTGGCTTCCAGTTTTCTCAACACTATTCACCAGAAAGACTGTCCTCTCCTGTGGTATGGTCTCAGCTGTTTATCAGAGATTCAGCACTGATATGCACAGATGTATTTCTGGATTTCCCACAAGTCCACTGACCCATGTATCTCTCTGTTGTAGCGCCATACTGTTTTTAGTATTGCTGCTTTAAAGTTTGAAGTCAGGTAACTTAGTATCTCCATTGCTCTACTTTGTTCTGAAGATTGTTTATACACTTGAGGGCCTTCTGTGGTTCCAGATAAATTGCAGTATTTTTAGCTCAATCTCTTTGAAAAACATTGCTGGAATTTTGGTGGCAATTCCATTATATATTCATTTTTAGACTGGAGAGTGAATTTGATTATATTGATTTCTCTTCTTGAGCAAGGGCTACCCCATCTCCCTGTGTCACTGTCTAATTCCTTAACCACAGTCCCGCCCTTCTCATTGTATAAGCTCTTTACTTCCTTAGACTGAACCCAATTTTCAAATGTTTTTTAAAATTAGAAATAGATTCTGTTCTTGCTTCCATTCATTCTTTGTATCCATATTTTGTAACCTGCCACTTTGCTGTATTCACCTATTGTTTCTAATAATGTTTGGGTACAATCCTTAGAATTTTCTATATATGTCATCGTATCATCTAAAACTGTGATGATTTCACTTATTTTCCTGCCTGGATTCCCTTTACTTCCAGCTTTTGTCTGAAATAGCTCTGGCCAAAGCCTCTAATACTGGTAGCATTATATAATGCTAATTAGTAGTATTGATAGTGTGCATCCTAGTCATCTAATCTTAAGGGGAAAACTTCCAGGTTTTCACCATTAAGTATTATTTTGGCAATTGGTTTGTCATATGTGACCTTTATTACATTGAGGTAGGTTCCTTCTATTCCGTCTTTTAAGGTTTTTCTCATAAATGGGTGTGCTTATCAAGTGTTTTTTTCTTGTACCTAATGATATTACATGATTTTTTTATATTTAGTTGCTGTTGATATGATGTATTACAGTGATTCATGAATATGTCATCCTTCCATACAAATCCCTCTTGATACCGATATATAGGCCTTGTGATTTGGTGTTGAATTTGATTTGCTAGTATTTTGTTGAAGATATTCTATTAACTTATTGTGTGTAATATTCTTGTCTTTGCATCTCTACCTGGTTTTGGCGATCAGGGTCATAATGGCATAATCAAATGTATTAGGGAGTATTTCCTCTTCAGTAGTTTTAAAAACAATTTGGGCAATATAAGCTTTAGCTCTTTGATAAATGTTTGATAAAAATCAATTTGTAAAGCTGTCTGGTCCTAGGCTTTTCTTTGGGGGAAATTTAGTGCTTTTTCAGTGTCCATGCTTGATCAGTTTTTCAAGTCATTTGTTTAATAAACTGTACTGAGAAATTCGACATTGTGCCATCATAGTTGCTCTTCTAGCTTTTGTGATTCTATCACTGTTTCTGTCTTCAGTGTTAGCCTCGCTAGAGGTTTGTCTATTTTCTCAAAGAACCATTCTTGGTTTCTTTGATTGTTTTTCCTGGATAGTCTTTTTGATCAGCACCAAGGATTCTATCACTCAGGACACTGTTGCAGTTTGATGAAGCAGAGTGTGGTAGTGGGCAAGTGAGTTCTTTCTGTAATGGAGTCTCAGTGAATGCACACATCCTACAAGTGAGATACGCAAGAACTCTGCAGTTCTGCAGGGTCAGCAACCGCTAGAGTCTCCTTCATGACCCTCCACCACAATGAGTAGCATGGGGAGAAAGAAAAGAGGAGCAGAGATCCCAATTAACCATACATAAGCTTTTCTGTCTTAAATAATCTCTTTGTGATTATGTGTCCTGCAAGCTCAGTTCTGGCACCCTAAGCCCAGTGCTTCCCCCCTGAGACACAGCCCTGCATCCCAGTCCCTTCATTTCTAGCTTCGTGCAGAATTTAATTTTTAAGGTCTCCAGGTCAGGCTCTTGCCATGTTAATAAGAGCCGAAAATAATGTGGAAAATCCTTTCTTGCACTACACAATAGAATTTCAGGACTTGCACCTTACGTTTTTGGTATATTTAAGGTTTCGAAAGCTGATTATCAACTTTGTCTCTCCTTTGCATTCATGTTTTAGCAATCAATATGTTACCCTGGCCCAAGGCAAAACATTTACAAATACTATAGATTCAGGAATAATGAAGACTGTGCCCAGCCCTCCCTGGTGGCACAGTGGTTTGGAGCACTGCACTGCAAGGCTAAGCCATGCATGCCGCTTCAGTGCGAGTTTGATCCCGCCCCTGAGGTCACCCACAGGGCGCAGCAGACCTCTCCTGTCTCACCCACTGCTCCTCTCAGCATGTACTTCATCCATCTGCCTGTTCTGCTTCCCATTATGTCTCTGATGAATCCTTTCACTGCCCCCGCACCTCTGGCCTGTACCCCAGTTCTGTATACATGTTTAAAATAATCTTCAAAAAATAATGTGCAAAAAATAAAAGCACATTAAAATACTCTCAATAATATTATGTCCATTATACCTGTCTAGCTGTACGCTTTCTCAGATCCTGTAAGTTTATGAATTAAAAGTTGTGGTGATGAACTGTGCTAATAGGAGGGGTGACCCAGAGAATCATTGCCTGAAGTCAGCTCCTTTGGCCCTTTCCATTTCAGGTGACAGGTAAAAAAGCAGAGATTTTAGCCTTTGTCTGTCAGCTCTAAACCTGGCTTCATTTTGCTTTTACAGTCTCTAAAAATTATCTTCTCTTTATCTTTTAATAGATAATGGAATGCTAATTTGTCTTGCATGAACTCACTTATCAAAATATTCCAAGACAGCATTTGTTCTATATATATACACTGTAAAGTTTCCATTTGGTTGAATGAGCTGTCCATGATTCTGACATATATCAGGATTCTTGAGTAGTTGGAATTTGAGGGATAAGGTACATTTGTCTCTTTCTAGCTGGCTCCATGAGAGGTCATAGTGTACAGCACGCACCATTCATTGTTAATACCCTGCCCTGAGCTATGCTGCAGAAAAATATCTAAAGGATGATTTGGTAAAATGAATACCTTTAAAAGGTCACTGGATTTTGGAGTAAGAATTCTTTGCAGCTGGAGAGAGGAAACCTTTTATTAGAGATTATTATTTCCTTCCCTCGGAAAGGGAAGAAGTATATTTTTAATGACCAAGAAGCTATGTGAGGGAGGTTAATCAAAATATCAGAAAATAAGAAATGGACATGGGGTGCTAGGAGGGGTCATCATAGAAAACTGTCTGAGACTTGCTTATTTTTTCTGTCTCTTCCTTTTCTTCACCCTAGAAAGAAACATTCTGATTTCAGTCACATTTATTGAAAACTTTACCAAATGGAATTCTGGAATCCTCTGTGGCAAATAGAAAATATATGAACCCAGTAGTAAATAGCACTGTAAAACAACAAGGAGATTTGGGTACCTTCAAATTACATGAATTCTACAACAGATTTAGTTCTTAGCTTTTACAAGAATGGAAAATAACTTAAAGATTATCTGAGTTTTTTTTTTAAAAAATATTTGTGTGTACAGAGCAGGGGTACAGGCCGGAGGCTCAGGGGTGGAAAGAGGCTTCACCAGAGACAGAGTGGGGAGCAGAACAGGCAGATGGACGAAGTACACCGCTGAGGGGAGCAGCGGGCGGGTCAGAAGAGGTCTACCACACCATGTGGATCACCTCTGGGTCAGGCGGGGATTGAACTCATGCTGAGGTGGCTTTAGCTTCTCAGTGCTGTGCTTTAACCCTCTGCGCCACCAGGGAGGGCCTGAACTTTATTTTTAAAATATGAGACCCCGAAGGAATTTGCAAATACTTTTCTTCAGTATTGTCTTCTAAGTTTTGTAGTTGGAGGAAAGGTACATATATGTGCTTATAGCCTGGTTATTCTCAAGTAGAAAAAAGGAGCAGAAACGTAAACATAATCGCTTTAGAAAAATCCACTAGGGGACACCAAAGCAAAACGCAAGCTTACATCCTTTTTGACAGACCCACAGGCAAGAACTTGTGAGGTGACAATGGGGTGCAGGTGTTATGGTGAAAGTGTGTCTTTTTCATGAATAGAAGTTTAGAATCATTAGGAATTAGCCCACTTTACAGATGAAGAAAGTAAGCTGTAGGAGAATGGGAATCCTCAAACTCGGCATTGCTGCCAGGGATGCAAGGACCTACGTTATTTTGAAACAAGACTATAAAAAAGAGAAAAGCAAATTCCATTTTAAGAAGTATTTATAACAATTTCTTATGTTGTATACAGCTATTGTGTTTAGTTGTGTGGATGCAGTGAGGTAAGGCATTTAGTTCTGTCCGTGAAGAGTTTTTATCCTAATCAGGAAAAGGTATCACGTGGCTTAAGCCACCTGTGAGCCCTTCCATTTCCCTGAGGATTATCTAGTGCCATATATGTGGTATGAGCCAGAAAACAGAGGGCTGAGAACATACTTCCTGATGGGTGGAAAAACTTCTAGGTGGAAGAGACATGGAGGTGGCTGTCGAGCATCTGGGCAGTGGCTGCATATAAACAAGTGTCACTAGTTGGAGTGCAGGCTGAGAGGGCAGCTTAATTTCTAAACAAGTGCGGATGAAACTAGAGAGATATGAATAGGTATAAATCATGTATAAATACACTGTAATAGTATAAATATGATGTAGAGTACCCATTATATATCAGGCAGTATAATAATAAACACTTTTACAAAAGAGAAAGTGGAAACTTAGTAGCTGTTACAAATTGTTTCAAGAATGTGAACAAATAGTAAGAACCCAGAACTAGCTTAAGGTTCTAACTGCCCTACACTACTGAAAGAGTAAATAAATGGAGACAAGTCTACTTGGAGATTGAGATGTGCCTACAAGTTGTCTGACTAATGGGAAATGCAGAGTTTGAATCGTTGCAAAAACCAAATTTAATGAATCTCATTTCCGACAGAAGCATCATTTCCTTCCTTAAATAAATTTGTGGTATGTGTTTGGGGGGGGATGTTTGAAATAGTGGCCCTTAGAGATTCCAATTCATTAGAAACGGAAGAATGGAAGTTACATAAGTATGTTTCACAATCCTGGTATTTTGGAACATGGTCTCCAGGTATTGAAATAGATATACGTTAGGTGAAGCAGAGAAATCAGAAGCTGTATGAGAGTCCCAAGGACCTTGTAAATATCTAGTCTCCTGAGGCTGTCACTCCAGTGCTGGTGAAGCCTAAAGCAGCAAAAGTAGCTTTCTGGAGGATGTGTCCAAGGCACAGAAATCCTGCTGCAGATCACAGGCATAATACAATGTTGACTGCTTCCCCCACGTTACGGGGGATGCTCAGTGACACACTTCCATGATGTCGCTGACGCGGTGCGTGTCTTGTGGAGTAGTCTGCAGCTCCACAACCTATGGTCCTTGGTAAACCTCTCTATCTTGACTTTCCTTTCTGCAGATGACCATGATAGCTGCAGTGCAACTAACATGTGGGGCTATTGTGAAGGCTTAAAGCAAAGAACAGAAGTGACACATGCATGTTAGCAGCTTTATTTAGTTCCACTGTGGTGTACAGTGACAGGTAAAGATGCACTTCACCAGGAACAGAATCTAATCGGTACTTTGAGATTCTACTAGGGGCAGATCTTGACATGATTCTCTTCATAGAAGACTCAAGGCAAAAAGTAAACATGGGCATCTTGGAGAAATTGTGACATTAGTTTTAAAATGACTGTGTAGTATTCTAACTCTAGACAAAAATCACACAGTAGATACCTTTTCACTTGTCTCAGTGACTTCTGCTTTCCTTTTAGGTGGATGATGACAGAATGGACTCCATGTTCAAGAACTTGTGGGAAAGGAATGCAGAGCAGACAAGTGGCCTGTACGCAACAGCTGAGCAACGGGACACTGATCAGAGCCCAGGAGAGGGACTGTGCGGGGCCAAAGCCGGCCTCTGCCCAGCGCTGCGAGGGCCAGGACTGCATGACTGTGTGGGAGGCGGGGGTGTGGTCTGAGGTGAGTGCTGTTTCTTTTCCTTCTTCTTCTGATTCAACTTACATAAGATCATTGTGTCTCATGTTCTGAGTTGATCTGCTTCAACACCATCTTTCTGAATCGAAAGGGAATTATCCTTCATAGGTAAGTTTGCAAACAGAAAAAAAACCAAGGATATTTATCTTCTGTCTAGATAGTAATTAGCTGAGTGGACACATACTAAAATATGTATTTGACTCATTCTGTATCTCTGGTCATTCAAAAGGAAAAGGAAATTTGAGCATTTTTTTTTGAAAGTTCAATTTTTACACATATTTCCAGTGAGCAGGATTTTGTGCTATATTTTATAGTTAACTACCAATGCAAGAAAGCTAGCAGTTCACCAGTTTATAGGATTGGAACCAATCCAACTCACGGTACCACACCCCCTTACTTGTAGTACAGTAGTGTTCCATGCCACACATATGCTGTATTTGCTGTTTCATGTTTTGCATAACAGTATATGCCAGCCCTATAAAATCCTACATTATTTCATAAAATTTGAGCAGAATAAATCTTAAAAGCAAATGGATGTTTTCCTCACATAATATGTTAAAATTTGAGGTCTAGTTTACATTTTGATCATTATATATTATCTTTCATAGTTAACCTCTATGTTGTATTATTCCAGGTGATAATGGTCCTGTGTGTCTAAAATCTATCGATCTCCAGCACTGGGCCCCCAACTTCATTTAGCTTGTGACACTGACATGTGTTCTGGATTTTCCCTAAATGTTACCCTTTCTTCTCTCACCTGGTCTTTATGTGTATGATTAATGTATGAGACATAAATGGATCCAGCACTTACTATAATGCAATTATTATTCTACACATCTAATCATCCAACTTAGCCCAAACTCTGATACTCTTTGCCAGTGTTCAGTCAAGTGCGGCAAAGGCATACGCCATCGGACTGTGAGGTGTACTAATCCTAGAAAGAAATGTGTCCTCTCCACCCGACCCAGAGAGGCTGAGGACTGTGAGGACTACTCAAAATGCTATGTGTGGCGAATGGGTGACTGGTCTAAGGTAAGAATCATTTTGTACTTTTATTACATTCCACTCTTATATTACATATCCAGCATTGCCCTGGATACTACAAATAATAGTAAGTTCCGGAGAAGAGGTATATGGATCATGGGGCCTGGGGTATTACATACCCAGGTTCAAGTTCTCCCTGTCCATGATGATGATCTCTATAAAACTGTGTTAAAGGTATAGGAAGATGAAAATGTGTATAAAGCATTCCACATCATTTTTGATATAAAGGGAACTCCAAAAACAGTATATGCCATTTGTTGCTAGGTTTTGTTGGTACAGTGCTGTGTCATAATGATTTTGTACATAATTAAAGACAGCAAAGGGGATTTCCATCATAGTGGTAAGTCACTCTTTTCCTCCCCAGTATTTGGGGTTGAATAGAAAGGAATGGAAGTCTTGAAGTACCATGGTTAATCAACTGTACACAACTATTTTAAGAGGTAAGCAGAAGCTTAATATTTTGATAATAGTAATGATTATTTTAAATGATCTGTAGCAAACAGCTCATTCACTGTTCAAAAGTAATCTCATGTTTTCAAAATCTAATAATATCCAAGTGAAAACAATTCTAGTTTTCAGAAATGTGTTAAGCATATGATTTCCTGTGTGTTGTCACGTTCACCTGTGATTTCTACTATTCTGGAATCAAATTTCTCAGGCTTAGAAAAAAAAATAGTATAGTAAATTTTCTATGCGTTCCTTGCATTTTATAAATTAACAAGAAATGATGCATGTGGAAGCACTTGGGGAGTGTGGTGATTGAGATGCTCTGTGAGAAAGACTTTAATCATGTAAAAGCACGATGGTTAGGCAGCTTGCTTAGTTTCCTCCAAAACAAAACCACTTTTTCTTACGACAGAAAAATTAGCTTTTAAAAGTTTACACTAGTAGCATCACATTTAATTCTTAATAAACTGTATTTATCAGACTTCTAATACTGACAGTTCACATTTGGACTCTGTAAGGGATACACTTGTCAACACTGTAAATCAATCCCTGCTAGAGAATTAGAAAACCTTTAGTCCAATTTATGCAACTGGTGAATTATGTAAAGAAACTTCACGCTATCTCCTAAAAGTTGTTTAGTCTAGAGACAATTCTAAATTAACTACACAAAACGTTAAGGTTTGTGTTTCCTGAATTTTTATTAAGTGAGCATAGGTTGGGAGGGCAAGTTTGGGTTCTTTCATTGTGCAAATAGGGAAATAAAATCATATAATACATTTGAGTGTCAGTTTCCATGAGAGGGGAAAAAACAGACAGCATTTGACTTGAAACAGTTCACTCAGCACTGGAATTATGAACAACTAGTGAAAATGCTGGGATGTGTTTTGTTAGACAGTTGTTTACATTTTAAAAATCAAATCATTAGGGTATTTTTTAACTTTATTAAAAGTAATGGAAAAATTTTAACACTTAACTGCCAAAGCAAAAATTGTTACAAAAAAACCCCAGAACATTCACCTTTATTCTAACTGAAGCTTATACATTGCTATATATGCTGGTCATCACTAGCAAATCCTATTTGCATGACAATAAAAAGTACCTGTTATAAGTTAAATCTTACGCATATCAAAACTAAATGACACACAACTTGGTTTTTGTTTTTCAAACGCCAAACAAATCCCTCTATTTTAATAGTCACGGGTCAACATAAGTTAATTCTGAATACTACTTTCTGAACAAGAATACAGCTATTTTTTTCCCGTGATATTACTCATTGACATTATTTGAATGCTTTTTTTGGTAAGGTCTTATTCACTTTCCAGTATCTAAGACAAAGGGAATGATAATGATCACCATGTTTAACAGTTATATATAAAATAAGACTTCCTTGTCTTAGAGAAAAATATTTACCTTCAAAATGGTAGTTTTACAGCCTCTAAATAGATTTTAATATTTTGAGGAACCACCACGCTGTTTCCCATAGGGACTGGTCCTATTTATATCATCCCAATAGTGTGAAGCTTGTTTTACCTTTGAACTTGATGTTGGCTGTGTTAAATATGCCTTATGTTGAGATATATTCCATTCAGTCTTTCTCAGCACATATCGATATGATCATATGATTTTTATTTTCCTATAGTTGTGGTATATTATGTTGATTATTTTCGGATGTTGAACCCACCCTGTGTCCCTGGAATAAAGCTCACTTGGTCATGGTATATGATCATTTTAATGCATCAAATTCTATTTGCTAAGATTCTGTTGATTTGTGCATTTGGGAAATTTGTCTAATTATTTTTGTAGGTGTGTTGTCTTTGGTTTTGATGTTTTGGTAATGTTTACCACAAAATGTGTTTGGAAATGTGAGCGAGAGACAGGTATTAATTATCTCATCTTTGACTGCTTGGGGGAAGTTAGCAGTCAAGCTATCTGGTCCTGGATTTTTGTTTTTAGGGAGGCTTTTGATAACTGCTCCAATTTCCTTGCCTATAATCAGTCTGTTCAGGTTTTTAAATTTCTTCCTGATTTGGTTTCAGATGGTTTTATATTTCTAAAAAGCTGTCCATCTCTTGTAGACTTGTTCAATTTAGTCAGCATACAAACATTCATAGTAATTGCTTACGAGTCTCAATTCTTGAGATTGTGTTTTTCTTTTGTGTTGTTGGGGAGAAAAATCTTTCTCTTGTGGTTGAAAGATAATTTTTCTGAACTTCTATTTCTCAAGTAATTTTAATTTACTCAGTGTGCAACTATTGCACATTTTGCAGTTGCCCGCCAGGAGTCCACACAGTGTCCTCCCCTGAATTTTCACACATTACTGAGTTGGCAAATTGTCTATATCTCATTGACTCCAGACAATAGATGAGTCCGTTAAAATAGCTGTCAGTTTCCAGCAATTTTCTTGCAAGTATTTAAGAGGCAGCATTTCTGTAGAAGCAAAAGAAAACTAATTACCAGTGATTGGCGTAAATTATAAGCCCAGCTCTTACATCCTAAGGGTGTTGAAGATTTACAGGCAGTGTTCAGAACACCTTCTGCAGTTTGAATGTTTCTGATCAGGTGTTGACCAAAAGTCAGCACGAAAACAATCCATGGATGAGTGTTGTGATTTCTCTGAGGTTCACATGTTGCTTCACTTTTGCTTGTCTTGTTTTAGAAGTGGGGACTCAGTTCTCAGTGATGTCAATTCAAAACCATCAGCGGAAAACTTGCAAACACTAGTTTGGTGAGTCATAGCCTGATATTACAGAAAGGCTTACGAATTCAGAATCCAGTCAAACCTAAAAGATGAACACTGGAACCTAATAACCGAAATGTATGTGATTGAAACGTATTTCTCCCCATAATCACCCTCATTTCTATCTAAGAAAATTACTATGAAAGTAATTTGCATTTACATAATGTCTAATTTGAATAAGCTTGGTCTATTATTAAGTATAGCAAGAACAGTGATTAAGTATGTAGGTTCTTTTAAATCTGTTTTGCTAGAACTGAAGAAAGTGAATTTCTTTAAAGCCTCTTAAGGCTCAAAAATCATGCCAAGATTCACCGTCAGACTTTGTAAAACCAATAAATTTAGTTATTCTTTTCAAGGTTTGAAGCAGGCTGGCTTTCCCAAGGTTATGTGCTGACTCCATGAAAAAACCACCATAGTTCTTTAGAGCTGTGTTTACAATATCTATTTGAGGGCCTGCAATCAAGTGTCGATAACTTAACCATGTTTCCAACTGAGTTCAGAACAATTTTTTTATTGAATTAATATTAAGACTGTTTCCAAGTTTTGCAGGCATCGGATGGGGACGAAAGCAAATGTTTAATTTTTTTTCTTAAAGTTTTATTTTCCCAAATTGCTCATAGTTTATGAAACTAAACACATTTATTGAGAGTTACTTTTGAGCAAATGAAACCAAATCTGTAATTATCATCCTAGGGAAAACCACGTAAGGCACTGTTCCCAGAGAAATCAGGTAGGTACAAACTGTTGTGTGTGAAATTTCAACAAAATCTGAAAAATTGATATAAATAGACTAAAATATTGTAAAGAATCACTGGCAGCTTACATAATATGCTCATTTTCTATGCAAACTATGTAAATTTAACACAAAACATTTTTTAATTAGTCATTTACCTAAAATTCTACATAGGATCTCAAAATTTTAGGTTAGTGCAATTTAGGTTACATTACAGTTTATACAGGTGCCACTTATAATTATTTAACAATTGTGATATGATAGCTGAACATCATATGCAAAGGTTTAGTGCTCTGGCCATTTTCTAGTCTATAATGAGCTAGACTCGTTTTCTGCTTAGCCTTGCCTCCTGACAGTCACAGGGTACTCACTGCGATTGCCCAGCTAGGTTAAAGTCAGAGACAGACTAAGTCCCGGGTCTGGGCTGCTTTTCTTTCTCTTAGGTAGTAGTCAACTATCAACATGATCCCCCTTTAAAAGTTCATGTTAATATAATTCAGGTTTCAGATGATACAAATGATTCTCATTCTGAATAAAAGTAGCATTTGTTTGCTAGTATAAACAATCTTCCTTCACAGAGCTGTACTTTTTCTTTTTGTAAGGTAGAGTTACATTTTTTCATACTCAAATTGTAATTTCTTTGTATCTGTCTTTACCCCACTTTTCTCATTTTTCTTTCCTTTCTATATGTCTAGCCATTGGTGTCTCCATTTCTTCTGTCTCTTTCCCCAGTATTTCTCACTATCTCTCTATGCTTATGCTTGTATATTAAATCTCATCTTTTCTATTCTTTCTCTCTCCATAGTACATATTTATGACTCTTTCCTTGCTCTCCATATCTCTATTTACTCTCCTTTTCCCTTCCATTTATAATTCTTTTTCTCTTAATCTTCTCTTTCTCACTTTGTTTCCCTTTTTAGCTTTCTCCACTTTTATTTTTCTCATCCTATCCATCTCTTTTACGTATCTTCTCTCCCTCTATCTGTGGTTCTCTAGCTATCTCTTCTGTACTTTTTCTCAAAGAAGGAGAGAGGGAAGGAAAAATGTAGGACTCACCTTCAATGTCCACCT